AAGCTTCTTTTAAACTTCAAATAAGTCCAGAAAGGGGAGAAACTGAATTAAGGCCTATCGCTCATTTACATATCAAACATTAAATAACAAGTTACATTTATAGTATATGGCTGAAGTGACCTACACTGAAAGAATAAGAGATCTGGGGAGTAGAGGGATAAAAAAGGAAAAGGAGGAGGCAATCTGGTAACAGAGAACATTGTGGTATCAGGATACATAGGGATTTGGGACATGAGAATACTGGTAGTCATTGTAAAGCACAGGAAGTAAGAAGAATACAAAAAAGGAGGTAAAAAGGTTATAAAGGGAACTTCATTTATTCAAAATCTCATTGTTATTGTTGTTGTTGAGTTGTTTCAGTCTTGTCCAACTCTTCATGATCCCATTTGGGGTTTTCTTTGCAAAGATACTGGAGTGGTTTGACATTTCCTTCTCCAGCTTATTTGACAGATGAAGAAACCAAAGCAAATAAAATTAAGTGACTTGCCCAGGGTCACACAGCTAGTAAGTATCTGAGGTTAGATTTGAACTCAGGTTTTCCTGACAACAGGCATGCTGTACTATCCACCGCACCACCCAGCATTCCAAATCTTGCTGGGAGCCAATCCTGACCCCACCCAAAGGGGAGGACACTCTTGTCTTCCTATTACTTACAACAAATAGACCCCAAGCTCCTATGTCACAGAACTTGAAACTAGTATTATTGTTTTAGCCACATAATTAAATAGGCTCTTATGGACTACCCTGAAAACCAACTCACTCTAACAAAAAAGATTCCAAATCATAAATAAATTTAAAATTTTAGAAACATAACTCAATTAAGTTTGAGACTGTCCACCTGTATACTCTGATACCACTATTAATGAAGAGGATGCATTCCATTAATACTCTTTTGTAAAAAAAAAAAATTCACAACTAGTAGTAGAAATAATATAAAAGGCATTGTTGTTGGTCAGTCATGTCCAACTTTTTGTGACTCCATTTGAGGTTTTCTTGGCAATGATACTGGAGTAGTTTGCCATTTTCTTCTCCAGCTCATTTGACAGATCAGGAAACAGAGGCAAACAAAGTTAAGTAACTTGCCACACAGCTAGTAAGTGTCTGAACAGGATTTGAACTCAGATCCTCCTGATTCCAGGCCCAGCATTCTATCCATTGCACCACCTAGCTGCCCCTAAAAGGCATAGTGATATGTTATAGGGCATCTGATAAGAAGACTTTCGGGTACTAAAATTATTAAATGCTAACCCTAAATCACACAAAAAACATTGGATAACAGAAGTATCTAAGTGTCTTGGGGCAAAGGTGGAGAAAGTTAGAGGATAGTTCAATTTAAAGGAGACAGAGTAAAGAGGGTAGTAAATTTTTTAAAATGTTTTCTTCCTTGAAAAGGCCATCTACAACAGGTACCTCTACATTCTCTCCTCTCACTCTCTTATAATCCAGCTTCTGACCTCATCACTCTACTAAAAGTGTTCTCTCCACAGTTACCAATCATCTTTTAATTGCCAAATCCAATGTCCTTTTCTCAATTCTCATTCTTCCTGACCTCTCTGCAGGCTCTAACAGTCTTGATCACTTTCCCTCTTCTCCATGATACTCTCTTCTCTCCAGGTTTTCAGAACACCACTCTCTCCTGGTTCTCCCCTACCTACCAAGACTGCTCCTCAGTCTCCTTTACTGAATTCTCATCTAGCTCAAACTCCCTAATCATTGGTATTACTCAGGGTTCTGTCCTGGGCCCTTTTCAACCTATTCTACTTCACCTGGTTGATTTCATCAGCTCCCACTGATTAATTATCATTTCTATGCTGATGACTCTCAAATCTATACATCCTATACTAACCTCCCTCCTGACCTCCAGTTTTGCATCCTTTCAGACATATCAAACTGGATGTCCTGTAGAGAGCTTAAACACAACACATACAAACGGAACTCATTATCTTTCTCTGTAAACCCTCCTCATTTTCTATGTTCCTTTTTACTGTCAAGGTTGGTTTTCAGGGTAGTCCATCCTTGACTCACTCTCTACCCCACTCCCCTACACCCAATCTGTTGCCAAGAGCAGTTGATTTCACCTTTTTGATATCACTCACATATGGCCCTCTTTTCCTCTGACACTGCCACCACTATGGTGAGGACCCCCATCAACTCAAGCATGGACTATTGCAATAGTCTGCTAGTAGGTCTGCCTACCCCAAATCTCTCCCCACTCCAATCCATTCTCTATTTAGCCAACAAAGTGATTTTCCTGAAACACAAGACTAACTATGTCATTTCCCTCTGTAATAAATTTCAGTGGTCCCTATCACTTCCAGGATCAACTACAAAATCCTTTGATGTTCAAAGCCCTTCAGAACTCACCCCACCTCCATCTTTCTAGTCTTCTTATACCTTATTCCCCCTCACATATTCTTTGAGTCAGTGACAATGGCCTTCTTGCTCTTCCATGAACAAAGCACTCTCTCTCTCAGCTGTGGGCATTTTCTCTGCCTCTGTCCCACACTTGGATCTGGAATGCTCTCCCTCCTCATCTCCACCTCCTGGTTTCTTCACCTTAATCAAATGCCAAATAAAATCCTATCTTTTACAGTAAGTCTTTCCTAATCCCTCTTAATTCTAGTTCCTTCTCCTCCGTTCATTACTTCCTATTTACCTCATATAAATCTTATTTGTGCATATCTGTTTTCCTCTTCTCTCCCCCATTAGAATGTGAGCTTCTTGAGGGCAAGGATTGTCTTTTGCCTCTTTCTCTATCCCCAATGCTTAGCACAGTGCCTGGTATGTAACAAATACTTAATTACTGTTTATTGACTGACTAAAAGAAGAGAGACCTATCAGCAGGCAGATGTGTGAGCTCTGGTCAATATAGGCCAGAGGCTCCTCCTACTATCAAGCAGCACCTTAGACAAGGCTTTGAATGACTCAACCAGTTTCCCCAGAAGAATAGCGTATATACATGCATATGCACACGTCTTTGACCTTTTTTTTTTTGGTGGGGGGAGAAGGGAGTGGCAGGCTTTGGGAAGGGGGAGGGTTTATTCTCTAGGTAATTTCAATTCTTTTTTTTTTAATAAGAAAAGAAATAAAAATGAATTAATCAACTCTTAGGACAAATTTATCATAAAGCAGTCATTTCCATAATATTTCTCCACTAATTTCTCTATTAATAAGAAGTTCATTCAAGTGTTTATCTGATTCATCAGGTACAGATGAAAGTTTTTAGGACTAGGACTGCCATAATCCTAAAACTGCTTCACATAAAGAATGGGTTGCATCACTTACCCTGAAAAGTGCTAACAAAATTAGGTAGCAGAAGGCACTCTGCCCAACCAAGAAACCACACTTTACATTATAAGTACATACTAAATTCAAATCATCCTTGGAAATCTTCTAAAGAGAACAAAATCATTCTTATAAAAGTTGACTCCTCTTAAATGAGCCCTAAATGCTGAAATCTATTACATCTATTTGGAAGCAAGAAGGAGCCTGCAAAACAACATGGAAAAAAGATGACCGTATTATAAATCACTTACATCTTTATTCACCAATATTTCCCAATAAAATCAAATAGGAACATCTGTTTAAATGAAAAGAAATTAAATACCATGTCTAAAATATGCCTCACTGGCCCTGACCAAACAAATGGTTATAAAATAGGAGAGGTACACGAATTTACCAAATATATCTAATACTATGGAATTATCAAGAAGTGCCTCAAACTTCTAGAAACTGATAGTGAAATTATCTTTCATAACCACAGCTTTTGAGAAACTCTATTTCAGCTAAACCTAAACCTAAAAATAACTGAGGCCCTAGTTCATACTAAATTAATATAAAAATCTAATCTGTGGTAACTGGTTTCAAGAGGGCCTGCTAAAGCTTACCTCAAGGGAACCTACTGCAGATAATGTCCCATTCACTTGTACAGTGTCCTTTCAGCTGCCTGCCAGTTGTCTCTGTGGAAGGGAAAGCCTGATGAGTCAGAGCCCTATGCCACACTTCTTTGGAGTTTGAGGATGCCTGTTTATTACTCCATAAAATGATCCAGGCAATAAAAGATCAGATGCTTATGAATGCCATAGAACATGAAGATGGCTTTTTCAGTACTCTCTCTCCCCTAAAGGCTAATACCAAATCTATAGATACTGAGTGCTGAAAAGCCTGTTGATACTCAATGTCAACACAATATAGCTACACTAACCCAAGAAAAACAAAGATTGGAATAGATCAAAGTCAGAAGGCAGTTACACTGATAAGGGAAAAATACGAAATGTATTAACTATTTAATGAAAGACTGCCAGATTGCCTTAACATCTAGTGAGGAGAAACTCCAAAGGATCAATCAACCAGAACTGAAAATGCATTATCAGCTATATAAGAATACCTCAAGACTTTCCAACACAAATGCTTTTTAAAAGATGCTATTAAGTACAGCATACTCAAAATTGATCTGTACCCCAACTCCAAATATATGCTTATTCAATACATGTTTTCATGAGGGAAAGAAGAAGAGAAATTCTTTAGATTTTTAATTATATAAACGAATGAACACCAACAGTAAAATCAAAAAAGAGGAATATCGGTGCCCCACAAAGGAAAGCATGCATGCATGCATGCACACACAAGAAACAAATACTTCGGGATGAAACTAAGAAGGTTTAAGAATAAATATAAAGAAGAAATGTTGATATGTACTCAGTGTTATTTGAAAAATCACCTTAACATCCTAAAATTATTCCTGACTAATAGCTTACTAATTCCAAGACCAGGACCATTTTATATAGCCAATATTCAAGGTCACCTACACAGCTATGCAGATTATAATTTCTTTTAACTGCCAATATTGCTACAATCTGTGGATAAGAATAAATTTTATTCTTTATAATACATTTTATTTCAATGAACTTTTCAGTATTAACCTTCAGGACAAGCATAATTAATGAAAAGAAAAACAAAGGTGATACAGGTTTTTAACAGAATTATACACAATTACATACCTCTGATTCCTTATCACTTAGAGATCCCAAGCTTCCAAAACTGTGATTAGAACTTTCATTATTTGTTGAGGCCTGTTAAAGATAAGAAAAAAACTTTAAGCTAAAAACTAGTTAAAAAAAAAGGCAAGAAAGTCTAATCATAGGTAAGCATGGTGATAAGGGAAATGCATTCAATTTGGCTATAAGTATTCAAATAATAAACTAAAAATAAAACTTCTGTTCACCTAAATCTTCAAGTACTATATAATTAATACTTTATTCTTCCTTTTCAAAGGAATAGGAACCATACTGCTGAATAGAAATGAAAAGAGAAACAAGTCATAAAAATCATTAAAAACGTCATATTAAACATGACAAAACAGTCTCATTCTCAAACTGGTATTATTTCACTTAAAATGTAAAAAAGTGTATTTTGAAAAAGAACTTAAAAGAATGTCTACAAGTGTTGCTTTAAATCCAAAAGCTTTATTTAGGTAACAAGATGATATAGTCAATTCCTATTATAAACACATGAGCTGGGTTGTAAGAAGAACAGAAGGAAATGGAAATTATTTTCAGTCATGATTCAGTTATTTGTAAAGATTAAAGAAGCAGATGAACCCCAAGATACAGTCCAGAAAAGAAGGTTTCAAAAAAAGTATATAACGTTAGCAGATTCCAGGACCTCAGGTTAAAGCAGAAAGCACGAGTTAAGATCAAAGACAAGGGTCAGATCCCCCCAGAACAGCTACTAGAGACAAGATTGGAAAGCTGAACAAAACAATAGAGTATTTATAAAATACACTCAACAAATACCTGTTGAACAAATTACATGCATACTTCAATCAAGGAGACAAGAAAACAGTAAGGTGGAATAGATTTTTAAAGCTAATATAATTTCAACCCTGAGTCAGGGTAGCTCATCCTGAGAATCAAAAAGGACCTTCTTTCCTAGCGATTGAGGGGACACAAGGGGTAAGAAGAGTAAGTGAAAGTCAAACTGAATCTAAAGCAATTCAATCTGTGCTCATGTAGAAAAATAACCTCACTTTTAGACACCTCTTCCATTTATGCTTTTTGTCAGGGGAGGGAGATTATCTGTTGCTTGCCTAGTGCAAGAAGCCTGGTAGATAAAAGGATGGGACAGGGGACTAAGCTAAGGAAGTAAACTAGATAAATGACAATATTCTTTAAACTATATGTATCTTTGAAACCCCTCACCACTGGAATATTCTTGCTCATTCAATACTGATTTACGTGGTCTGGCATCCTTAAAATGATGCTGAAGGAGAAAAAAAAAAGATTTGATAATCAAGCTTTTTAATAAAAGTTCCATAAGTGAACCAGTTGATGAATAAAGCAATACCTTTTTACTTGAAAGAGTCAAGGGATGACATCTAATTCTTATAATTCAGAATTCAGACAGCCAAGTTAAGCTTGTCTATTTTCTTGACAATTTTGCAAAGTTCTGTTATGACCCCTTAGCCTATATCTATAGATACAATAGCTGTGATCTTTTTAATCTGTGCTCAAATGCACCTCCACCTCCCCGATGATTTTAGTTTCTCTGCTCTGCACTTTCTCCATCTGCATTATGATATTTTAGAGAGTATGGCAAATGTCAATAAACCATGAAACTGTATACAAGGGTGGGATAATGTTGTTATGTTTCATTTCGTTTCTGATGCAGTTCTCTCCCAAAATCCTCCTCCAATGCCTCACTGTGGTATGGAGGTGCCCCTGGGTTCTTGATACCATCATTTTTTTTAACTTCAAAAATATTTTATTTTTTCCCAATTACATGTAAAAACAATTTTAAATATTCATTTTTTTTTAAACTTGGGAGTTCCAAATTCTCCCCCTCTTCCCCCCCGCAGATGGTAAACAATTTAATACAGGGTAAATATGCACAATCATGCAAAACATATTTCCAAATTGTGTCATGTTATAAAAGAAAACACAGACAAAAAAAACACAAAAAAAATTAAGTGAAAAATAATATGCTTTGATCTTGTTACACACTATCATACTGCATTTATGTATTCAAATTATCTTGGAAAGTCCTATCTCTTGATGGAATTCTATAAGCTCCATGAGCAGAGAGATCAACATCTTATCTTAACTTTGTATATACTCAGAGCAATATTACACATATATTAGAGGTGCTGAATTAATTTTGGGGGGGGGGTTGGAGGGTGGGTAGCTAGATGGATAGAATGCTAGGCCTGGAGGCAGGAAGACTCATCTTCCTGACTTCAAATCTGGCACCAGACAGTAGCTGTGTGACCCTGTTTGCCTCAGTTTCCTCATCTCATTTAGAGATGAGCCCCTTATCCATGCATGATCTCATTTTGCCAATCACTCTTCCCAAGGATATACCATGTTCCTTCTTGCTTCCCATTTTTATATATGGTATTAACCCTGCTCTAAATATCTTCCTTTCTAACCTCTACTTCTCAAGATCATACCCATTCTCTAAGATCAGGTTCAAGTCCCACTATCTCCATGAAGCCTAGAGTGGTTTGTCCCTTTTCTAAAAATATAAGTCTCAACTGCAGTTTAACATTTAATTTTTTTCCTGTGTTTCATATATATTGAGTGTGTCTTCCCAAATACATTCTTTGAGAAGGGTCCTTCACTTTAATATTATCTTTATGCCTAAAATCTAGCACAGCACACCTCTACACAAATCATACTCAATAATTACTGACTGATTAAACTGACTAAAAGTAGGAAAGGAACAAAAGCAAACTGAGATAGTAGCTATATGTAATAGCACAGAAGAAAACAGGAGAATTCACTAAACCCAAGAAACATTAAGAATGCTCCACACTGCAAAGAAGCACCTTGATCCCAAGAACATTTCAATTACATATGAATATGCTATTTTCAAGCCTTATCCACTGGAAGCTTCACTAAGTTGCTTCACAGGAGATGAGCATAAAAAATAAAGTAATATCTCAAGGATATTAACTCCTTGAGAGCAAAGATTATTTCATATTTATGAATACCTTCAATGTCTAGCAGAGTGCATTAATATTTACTGAAATGAAATTAAAGAGACTGTTCCAAGAAATTAGTTAATACTTGTTGTTATATATTTGAATTGAGACCTTGCTTTCAAAAAAGTTACAAGAAAATATAAAGTAAGCGTAATAATAAAGCCAGACACAAAATCATTCTCATATATATTAACAGTTGGTCATAACTTCTTGCTACAAAATAAAGAGATCCTTTGCAAACTATATTTAAACGATTCAATATAAATAAAAGCGTATTTATTAAAGCAACACTCACCTTTGCTCCAACACTGCAACTTCCCGTGCTCCCAGTGCTTCCACTTACAACTCCTGTAAATCGAGCTTCTAATAATTCTTGCCTTCTTGGATCTAAGCTGTGAAGCTCATCCATTGCACCTATGGAAAATATATCCAGTTAGCTATGATTTGCCATTGATTAAATGAATGGCTCAAGTAAATGAAATACACACCAATCTTAAAAATGATGTTATACAACAGCAACCCTCAGAAAATGGCATCTTGTCCTTCTATTACAAAAATGCCACTTTTCTGAATTACCGTAGCACTTTTATATGTCACTTATTTGGGTATTTAATCACATAATGCCTTGCTCTTCCATTATGACTGTTTCAATTATGTGGATCTTCTTTCCCTAATTATACCTAAAGTATTAATGTCAACACCTTGTAAAAAGCCAGCTCAGTGCCTGACAAAGGACTCTGCACACAGGTACTCAAATGTTAGAATGAAAGAGGAGATGTTTGAGAAGCCAAAGGTTCTTCAAATGTCATTCAACTGCCTTCAACTGTCATTTTAAGAATCAAATTATACAATTTTAAAAATCACACAAGATGTAGAAATTTTTTTTAAAAAACAATTTTAATTAAACTTTCTGAGAATCACTAGGATGTGATTAAAAGTGGGAGAAACAGATAAAGTATTGTCCTGTAGATCTAGCTCACAACAAATTATTGCAGTCTATCTTCAAATGTGCCCTTGCTACTATCTGGCAATTCTTTTATCCCTATTCTTTTACTAACATCTGAAGAAGGCGCTTTATTCTCATACTAATTTCCTATCAACTCCCCACATTATCTTTATCCACAATGTCTTATACATAACAGACATTTAATAAATGCTTGTGGGATTGATTAGCTATTTTACAGAGCCTTCTTGACTTTTCAAGCACTTCATTCCACCCATAACCACTCAATTTACTCCTACCTTCTACTTCAATAAGAGGAGGTTATTCTGATTGAGCTCCTGTATCTACCCTAATTCTCCACAAGTGTTACTTTCATGTTCATTCCCTTAAATTTCTGAACAACTGCTCCACTTATGTCCTTGATCTCATGCCTAACTCCTGAGGGCTTTACTTCTGGCATATCTGCTAGCTCCTCCAGCTCTGCCACTGTCTTCAAACACAGAAAAATCTTTCAACTTTGCAAAGATCTTAAATTTGGCCCTTCTGCTCCAACCAGCTTCCATGTTATTTGTCTCTTTCCTTCCACTCTGAAACTTGAAGCTAGTAGTGTGTACTGTTTGTCAGAAGATAGGACTCTGTGGAAAGCTCCCTCTTTTTTCCTTGTCTACATCTTATAACTTCTTGATATCATTCACCTATACGCTCCTCTTTTAGTCTGTAATAAAGAAGTATCCCATATTCCCACCAAGACAGCCATTCTACACAATAATAGCTAACACTGATATATAGCTTTACAAATATTATTTTATTTGATCCTTACAAGAAGAGGTAGATGCATAATTTGCAGACTTTGTTTTTGTGAATTCACCTACTCCCTAAACTTTATTTGTAAATCCCAAATCAATACTTGCAGAGTTTTCATGTCATGCCCAGAGCGGCAAGAAATTTGAGTCACCCAAAATACATATTCCCAGCTGAGGTTGAACAAGAAGATGTTCTCTCTTCTTGTGTCAGCTCTCACACCATAAACAAGTTTTCTTTTCCAGATCTATTTAGTGCAATGATTTTTGCATTTTTGGTGCTTTTTTGTTGGTGATTTTGCTGTACAAAATAGCCCTCAAGCAACAGTGCTTAAGTGCTATCTGGTGTTTTTAAGTGTAAGAAGGCTGTGATATACCTTACAGAGAAAATATATTAGATAAGCTTCATTCAAGAATGAATTACGTAGTGCTATTGGCTGTGAGTTCAATGTTAACAAATCAACAATACAGTATATCCAGAAAATGGAAGAGGAAATTGCTAATTTGTATGTGAGACAAAGTAAATGTTGTGACCAGAGCTCAAAGGAACCTAACCCTGTATTTCTCCTAGAAGCAATGGTTCAATATTTGTCAGTTCAGTGTTCAAGGTGACTTTATAGAACATAACTACCATGAATGATGAAAACTGTACTATTATCATTTCCATGTTACTGATAACGAAACTGAGGTAACAGAAGATGAGTGATTTGCCCCCGATCACACAGCTAGTGTCAGAGTCCAGATTTGAACCCAAAAGTGTCAATTGTTTTGTAGACTGCAAGCAGAATGTTGGACTGAAACTTTTATTTCATCAGCGTGGGTGAACTGCTCCTGGTATGGAAATTCCATTCACTGTTACAGATCATCAATTCCTCTATAACTTAAAAATTATGTTGGGTCACTGAGACATTAAATGACTTATCTTTGAATATACAACTAGTATCTATCAGAAGCATGGCTCAAACTCAGGTCTCCCATACTTCAGGGCCAGAGCTCTATCCACTGTATCACTTGTACTCTAGATTTTATCCCCTCCAATCTTCTCCAGCAGATTGCTACCTCAATCATCCTCTTTCTTTCTAATCTTCAATCTCTGCTTATCTATTGGCTCCATCCCTGCTGCCTACAAACATTACCTCCCATCTTTCAAAACAAAACAAAACCTTCACTAGACCCTTCAATTCCCTCAAGCCATCATCCTATCTCTCTTTCCTTTCTCAGGCATTCTACACACCTTACTTCAACTTCTCATCCTCTCATTCCTCAATCTTTGCCAACTGCATTGATCTTTATCATTCAACTGAAAGTGATTTTTCCAAAGACATAAATGATCTTTTACTTGTTAAATATCATGGCCTTTCCTCACAATGACCCATAGGCAACCAAAACTCAACATGTCCACAACAGAACTTATCTTTTCCTTCAAACCTATCCCTTTTCCAAAATTTCCTACTATTGTCAAGGGTACCATCATCCTTCTAGACAACCAAGTTCAAAACCTCAGCATAATCACTGACTCTCACCCACTCTCCATATATCCAATCAGTTGCCAGATCTTATCAATTCTACCTTTTAGAACAAGTCTCTTTTAATAAGTCCCCTTTTCTCTGCTTACACAGCTTTTATCTCCATTAAATTATTAGAAAACCTCCTAATTGGTCTCACCCTCAAGTCTGCTCCCACTCCAATCAATCTTCTACACGGCCACCAAAGTGATCTCCTAAAATACACATATGACTAAGTCACACCCTACTTCAAAAAGTCCATGGGTTCTCTATTATCTCCCAAGTTCCAATATGAAGCCCTCTCTTTGGCATGCAAAGCTCTTCACACAAAATCAGACATGACTGAAACGACTGAACAACAAAACAATATACTCAAGGCAAGGAAGCAGAAGGAAAAGGTGGTGAATAAAAGGAAGTTTGTTTATAACAGGACAAGCAATTTATTCACCAGAGTGAATTGAGCAGAGATGAGAATATAGCAGTGAAACTGTGTGTACCTAAAATGGTAATTGTATATAAATATGCTCACATTACTTCTTTGGCCAGAAAAATCCTCCCTGTTCTAACCTATTATTATCCAAATCCTATTAAAGATGTCAAAAGGCTCAGTTCAAGTCATACTTCTTTCACAAGGGCTTCCCTAAACTATTTCCCTAATCACTTCCTCTTCTCTAAGTTCCCATGGCATTTATAGTCAGTTTCATATTTACAGTTATCCCTTCCACACTGCTGGGGTTAGGAGTGCAGTGCTCCCCTCCTCACCTCCCCCATCTGGAAAATCCGAGTAAAATTTTTTGGCCCTCCCTTCATATCAGAGAAGAAGTTGGATTTTTTTCTTTTTCTTTTACAGTACCTCATTGTAAAATTTGGGTGTATTTATGGTATTAAAAGATAAAATATGTTGATATTATACAATACTATACACACATTTTATGCATTTCTGAGTTTCTAAACTTTTTTCTGTGTCATCTGTTGGCCTTCATGCGTCACCCAATGTTTCCACAAAACTCCCAGAAAATTCCCATTTAATTTCTTATGCCGACCCAAGATAAATTGAAACTGCAATGGGGAAAGTCAAGTTGTGGAAAGGATAACTGTAATTATATGTTTCATGGCATAGCTATATGTATTTTTTTGCCTGGTGTTATTTCATGCCTATTAACCTTTGGCCCAGTTCAGGTTCAATACAGTGCATGTATTGCAATACATAGCACATAAAAGCAATGGTAGTGGCAGTAAAGGACATCGCACCATTTTGCTCTTATAGCTTACCAAGAATCTACAAATAATTTACCCTAATTGTGAATCAGTGTATGGAGAGAAAGTGTTTGTCACATGTATACAGAATAACTGCACAGAATGAATCCAAATACTCTATCACATAATATCAGTCACTTTCATTTCACTGATTATCTAGCAGATCTTAGCTACCTTGTTTACCCAGCTGATACTCATATATACCAGCATATAACAAAAACTGGATCAAAAAGATTTATGTGCTTCTCTGTCAGTGTGCCCAACAAGACAGCAAATAACTAATTTCAAGGAATTGGGGGTGGAGGTGGTGAGGATGATGGAAAGACAAGGGAAAAAAAAGTTGTGATCTGCATACTATCGCAGAAATATACTAGAATACATAGTATAATATAGTCGTATTATTTCCATTTTGTTACAATCTAGTCCCAGGTTAATTGCATTAAAAAAATCTCACTCCCCATTCTCCCCTTTTCCCTCCATATGAAAATACAGATATTTTCAGTCTTTTTTTTTTAGTAAAAATTTCCTTGTTAGTTAACACTTGTTTAAAGTCCTTCCTGCTGTTCACGTCTGTTTCACAATACATTCACCATACTTGCTCTTCTGAGGTAGATTTCCAAAGTTTAGTTATGTCTAAGACAAAAACTCAATGCTCTTCAACTCAAAAAAAGTAAACTAAATACTGAATGTTAAAGAAAGATGAATTGAACTCATGGACAAACCCTTTGTTTAGAAGGATCTTTCCATTTAAAAAACTGACAAGACTGAAGTATAGCCCTACAGAAAATGCTGAAAATATACTTGTTTAATGATCCATCGCAGATCCAAAGTAATAATTCATTTATTTATCTCCTAATTTTGTTAAGCCTAATCACTCCATAATAGTCACGGTATATTTTTATATTTAAA